CCCGCCACGTCTTTGTACACGTGTGTGGGGTCACCTCCTGGGCTGGGAAAATAGAAAGCAAGCTGAAAACAGAGAGGGGACGTGGTGCGGGGCTCTGTCAGCCCCACGGGGACAGCAGCAAGCTGGGAGTGGCCCCTCTGCCCCCCCAAAAGCTGGGGCAGCGCGGGACGGAGCATCGGCTGTGCCCGGGGGCTGCCTCTGGCCCCACTGGCAGTGGGAGAGGGGGAACGGCTGCAGCCCGGCCCTGGGAGGATGGGATGGCTCCTGGTGCAGCCACCTGGCTCTTTCCCACTCCCCAGCCCTTCCCAGTCCCGGACTGGAGCGCTGGGCGTGGGGCTGGGCAGGGCAGGCAGCCCCCGGGGAGTGGGGCACAGCTCTCCCAGCACAGCCCCTTCCCCAGGGTCCCCCCAGAGCCCCGTTTGTGGGGGCTGAGAAAGCAACAGACATTTCCCAAGCTCAAAGTTTGCAAAATTCAGAGTGACTCAACCCAGGTAACCCCTGCTGGGGCTGGGAGCACGGCGATGACGCCCGTGGGCCGATTTACCAGCCAACGAGCCCCCAGAGCAGCGGGGACAGGGGCCCTATGGATTCTCCCCGCCCAGGGGGGGCTGGGGAGGCCGCAGGATGAGTCAGGGCCGAGCTGCCGGAGGGGCCGGGTGCCCGGCTGACGCAGAGCTGCTGCGCTGGCTGCTCTGCCCCTGCCCACGCAGCTCCATCCCCCTCCTCCCGCGTACAGCAGCAGCATCTCCCTCTGTCACCGCAGCCCCCTCCCCTCGCCCCCCAGCCCCTGGCGAGGGACAGACCCACCCCAAGCTCTCGGTCAGAAGAGCCAGAAATGGGATGGCCCCCAGTGCTCCTCCCGTCACCCTCCTGGGCATCAGACCGTGGGCAAGAGCCGGTTGGCATCACCCTGGACCTGTGCGAGGGAGAGGAACCGGCCCACGGCCCAAGCTGGGGCACGGGTCCTGCAGGGAGGATCCTGCCAGGCCCACGGGCTGGGAGCTGAGCAGGGAGCTGGCGGAGGCAGAGGAGAGATGCTCGAATGGGAGACAAAACGCAGGAGCTGGCGTGGGGCAGGGCCCGGGGGCTCGCAGCACCCACCGCCACACGCGTGCCAGAGCAGTGGGAGCCACCTGCCTTGGAATTAATAGTGCCAGGAAGAAGTTAGAAAGAGATTAGTGCCAGCGCTGGCGGGCAGTGGCACGTGGGCTCCGGGCACGGCCGCTTGACTCGGCTTCTCGCCACCTTCCCAGGGGCAGGGCAAGCTCCCCGCGGGGCACGGGGGGCACGGGCAGCTCTCACCCCCTGCCCCGCGGAGCTGGAGATGCTCCTGGGCTGCTTTTCATCCTCCCCAGAGCCTCAAGCGAAGCATCTCCGGCGCGGGGGCCGCCGGGGAGGCGCAGGGGGGAGGTGGGATGGCGAGGAGCAGGGGCTGTGCCGAGCTGCTGAGGATGCCCCTCGCCCGGCATCACTTCAGGAACAGGCGGGTGGTCCGGTCACCGAGCAGGAGCCTTTGGGGAGGTGAAAAGAGAAAGAAAACTCGGGGTGAAGCGGTTGAGCTGTTGCAAGGCTGCAACAGAAACACAGCAACAGCCCCAGCCCGGGCTCACCCCGCGGGAAGACGCGGATGGAGCAAACATGCGGGTTTGGGCGCGGGTTGGATCTTTGCTGCTGCCCCGTCACGGGAAGAAGGGGAAGGAGCCTTCAGCCCTTGGATCTCTCCTGGGAAAGCGGCTGCTCGCAGCCTTGGCCCGGGGAGCTGGGAAGCAGCGGGGCAGAGCCCCGGGGAGGCAGGGGTGGGAAGGGGGCTGTCAGCCTGCATGGCTCCGCTCTCCTCACCGCAGCGGCATCACGTACCTCACCAGCACGCTGACAAGGAGGGCAGCGACCATGGGCCCTACCCAGTAAACCCAGTGATAGTCCCAGTAGTTTGCTACCAGCGCTGGCCCGAAGGCTCTGGCAGGATTCATGCAGGCTCCGGACACGGCACCGCTGAAAGAAAAACCAAGCGGCCGCATCAGCCCTGCGGGACAGGAGAGCAGCTCCGTCCCCGTCGCTGCTGGGACAGGGCGATGCACGGGCTGGGTGGGGGCGCTGGGCACCACCGTACCCCCCCGGGCGCCTTTCTGGGGGTCTGGCTCTGCTCGGGGTGGTCAGCAGGTTGCGGTGGCCACTTGTCAGCGGGCATCAGCCTTTCGCTTTGTGAGCCCTCGAGGAAAACCCGGCGCGTGGGGCAGAAACACGAGTGCCGAGTCTATTTTGGGGCTTCCCGGGAGCCGGGATTTTAAAGAGGAAAAGCTCCATGCCGCGCGCAGGCAGCGGAGCGGGGCAGGAGCGACAACAGCGTTTACAGATTAAAGAAAACTGCAACAGATAAATATTTGCACAGGAGGCTCGTGCGGTGTTTAAATAAGAGCCGGGGATCCCGCTAGAGGGGGCACTGCCTTAACTAAACAACATTAACATTCATAACCGCGCGCGCTCAGTTCGGGTGGCGATGGCACGAGGCCCAGGGCGCTCGCTGCTGGGCCCGGCAGCGCTTCCGCGGGGACACGCGGGCTCCGGGACAACAAACCCCCTGTTTGCTCAGGGCTTCCTACGGCAAACACGGCCCCTGGGTTTTATCAGCCCGCGGCGAGGCTGCCCCGGCTCCAGGGCCACGGCCTGTCCCGTGCCCGGCCGGGCTGTGCCCCGCGGCTCTCCCCAGAAATAGCTGAGGGGCCAGCGGGCCCATCCGCCACCCCCGTGGTGTGCTCGGCTTCCTCAGTTTCAGGCCGGCAGGTCCTGCCGCATCCCTCCCTCCCTCCCTCCCTGGGCACGGGCGCTCCTGGGGAGCGGGGGGACCCTGACCGATGTTGGGTGCTTGGGGCCGCCCCCCGGGCTCTGCTCAGCACCCTCCCCGCAGCCCGCGGTCCCGTCCTGACCCCTGCCCGGGGAGAGGACTCGTGCGCTCACCCTGCCAGGATGTTGACCGTGACCGCGAAGCCGATGCAGAAAGGGGCCAGCGGGGTCTTGGTTCTCCCGTTGACGGCGCCCATGCAGGCCACGAGGATGAGGAAGGCGGTCATGGCGATCTCGCCCCCGAGGACGGCGGGGATCTGCTCGTCGGCCGTGACGCTGCTGAAGGCTCCTCCGCTGGCGTTGACGTAGCGCTCGCTCGGCGCCACGGCCTGCACGGGGGGACGCCCGGTTTGTGCCCAACACGCTCCATATTGTGGCCTTTAGCGGGCATATGTGCTCACCCTCAGGAGAGCGTGGGCGAGCGTAGTATCAGGTTAAAGAGGAGCTAATCTCAGCGCTTTCCTCCTGAAAGCCAGCCTAAGCGCCTGGCAAATATAAACTCATTAGCGAAGGCTCTTAGCATCACCGGAGATAATGAGCCAGGCAGGGCTCTCCCGGGATGAGCCTCACCCAGCTGCCCAGGGAGGGTTGAGGGGGCCAACGGCAACGGGCAGCACCCAACGCAAATCCACCGCCCGGCACAGCGCCCTGAGGAGCGGAGGGAAACGCCGCGTGTGAAAAGGGCCAGAGCTGCGGGGTCCCGAGCATCCTTCGGGGCCTGATCAGCCCGCCACGGCAGGCTCTGGAGAGCAGCTGCCCTTGAGGATGAATCAGCCGGGCCCCAGCGCGCCGTGCAGAGGCGGCATCCCCACGCCTGACCCGGGCCTGCGCGGGGGGCGAGCTGTGCCAGGCCAGCCCCACAGCCCCGTCACCTCCCGAGACATCAGGGCTCCTAGGGACAGGCAGAACCAACGCACCGAGTCCCCCTCGCCCTCCCCATCGCTGCCGCTGGGGACCCCGGGGCTGGGCACAGCATTAGCCCTGGCTAAAGAGACTCCCCGGGGGTCTGTACCTTGGCCAGGCCGGCTCCCAGCACCCCCCCGCAGAGCTGGCAGAGCCAGTAAGGGATGAGCATGGTGATGTTCAGCCCGCCGACCAGCCACATGGCCACGGACACGGCGGGGTTCAAGTGGCCTCCGCTGCAAAGGAGAGAGAAGCGTCAGTGCGGGGTTCACCCCCGGGGGGGCTCCACTCCAGAGACCCCCCAGGCGTTTCCAGGGAAGGAGCAGGGACAGGGGGTGTCCCCTGGCTGTGCGGTGGGCACCGAAGCCCCGGTGCAGGGGGGGTTACACCACAGCAGTGATGGAGCTGGGACCCAGCCTGGTGGGACGTGCGTCCCCGGGCGGCAGGGAAGGGGACAAGTGCTGTCAGGCAGGGCTGAGGCCTCTGCCAGGATTTTCGGGGTTTATCTGCCCCCACTCCATGTAAGGGCAAGGGCAGGCAGGTCGGTCTCTCCACGTCCCTGCGTGCTGCCCTCCACGGCCCCAGGAAGGGTCAGCAGGAGCCAGCGATCACCTCGATACGAGACCCAAATCATTCATCTCGAAGGCCACATGCAAGACAGACTCAGGTACCTTCTAATTAAAACAGATTACCACGAGCCACGTGTTAATGAACAAGTTTCATAACCAATCAGCCCTAATAATAATTGCTGGTGAAGCCGATGAGTCAGAGTGTCTAGGAACTATAATCACATCTTCTTCTCCCCCTGTAATTAAAGACCCATCACAGCAGAGCAAGAAGTGCTGTTGAGGCTACCAAGCGCCTCGGCCGGGCAGGGCTGTGGCTGCAAAGACCCCCGGGATGGGTGGGCGCCCGGGTGCTCAAGGAGGACGTGTCTGCAAATAAACCGTGGCGAGAGCACCCGCCCCCCTGCCCGCGAGCATCCCGAGCCAGGCTCCTCTCCAGACACAAATCTCTAAAACCTGACTTCAGGCTAAAACATCTCCCTGCGCAGGACCCCGAGCTGGCTCCGGGCTTCAGAGCTAACGGGGGACCCCGGAGGTGCTTCTGCAGCCCCTCCTCACAAAGCCCCACCACGCTGCTCCCCTCACCCCGGGCTTCACTGCGCAGAGGGTTCGGGGTGTAAAGGCGCTGCCAGCCCGTGCGCCCTGATCTGTGGGTCCCAGCTGCTCAAACCTCACCCCACAGCACCACCCCTCCTATCCGGTACTGATAAACTATCAGACAGGTTGCTCCGGGCTCACACGCGAGCTCGGCTGAGCGGGGTGCGTGTCCCAGCCCGGCGCGTTGGGGGGGACAGCCCGGAGCCACCCCGTCCCTGGGCTGCGCGGAGCTGACGGGAGGGAAGGGAATGAAACCTCACAGGGACTGTTTCATCTTCCTTCAGGGTAAATCTACATCTTAGCATCAAACAACAAGCAGGTTTGTCTAAATGCTGCTTTTGAGTCACTGAAACCATTTGTAAATGGAATCCAAGTTTTTCACCTGAAAATACACAGGGGAGTAGCATGCTCGGGTCAGAATGTTTTGTTCTGACATCCTTTTAGAAGGAAACACCTCAGCTTTCTGAAGGAAAAGCTGACTTCAGTTTTGCCCATTTTTATTAAAAGGGGCTAAAAATTAAAAAGTTACACTCAACAGCCAAGCGAGCTCCCCCAGGCCCAAGGTGGCACGGACGCCCACCACCAAAGCAGCCGCGCTGTTAGCCCAGAGGCTCGATGGCAGCGTGGAGCTGCTGCAGCCACTAATATTTGGGGAGGAAAGATCCTAAAGGCAGCGTGTGGCGAGACACGAGCATCTCCTCCTGCCCACGCATGGAAACCGTGGCAGGGGGGTGCAGAGGGAGCAGGCACAGCCCCCAGGGCCGAACCCCCCCTTACCTGATGTCTCCCAGGACGGCGACGGTGAGCCCCAGGGCCAGCCCGTGCGTCAGGGCGGGCTGCAGCCTCCCCGTGCCCCCCGTGTCCTCCACCACCGAGAGGCAGCCGATGAAGATGAAGAGCGTGCTGCCCAGCAGCTCAGCCACGCAGGGCTGCACGTAGCGCTCGTACCAGTGGGGCTGCAAGGGCCTGGACTGGATGTCCATGTCCAGCACCTCCTTCACCAGCGGGGGACCACGCTCCACAGCGGCCATGAGCAGGGCAGGCAGCGTCCTGCAGAGGGGCTGCAGCTGCTTCTGAGGGGTCCCGGTGCAGGGATGGAGCACCCTGCGTGTCCTGCTGGAAGGCTGGCACCCTCCCCTGCACCGGTGTGAAGAGGCAGTGGATGGGAGGCTCTAAAAAATGGATTGGATTTGCATTGCTTAAAAAAAAAAAAAAGGGGCAATAAAAGCTGATAGGCCAGCCCCCAGGAATATAAAAGCTCTTTATCACTGCCGTTCCTTGGTTCAAGGCTTGGGGTGGTGTTTTTTTTTTTTTTCTGCAGGTTTTTGTTGTTGTTGTTTTAGGGGTTTCTGCCAAGGCTCAGGATGTGATCCCTTTCATGTAGATACCCAGCGCGCCGGCACCTGCACGAAGCCCAGCTGGAGCCTTCCCCAGGTGGCTTTTACGTGCTTGTGGTGCCAAGAGGTGGCACGTGCCGGGAGGACCCTGACACCACGGGGGCACGCGGGCAGCCAGGGCACCCTGGGAAAGGCCTCGTGTAGCTCCAGGGAGGGAAAAACCACTCCTTGGGAAAAAAAAAAAAAAAAAAAAA